TTCTCCACGGTGAACACGTGGACATCCAGCAGGCAGGGGTCGCCCTCGAACTCGAACTCGATGCGTCCGGCCGGCAGCAGCTCCTGAGCGCACAGGCCGCTCTCCTCCAGCAGCTCCCTATCCCGGACCGATGAGAGGTCAGCTCGTAAATTGTGCTCAACTGAGCCCGTCGCGGCAGACCACTTGTATCTGACTGTTCACGAAAAGAACAGCATATTAGAGGAACCAATGGGTAGGGCCCATAAAAATGCTTTCAAAATATTTTCCCTAAGAACGAAGAGAATGATGATTATAAGAAGCAGCATATAAAACGAACAGAAAGGGCACGCGAAATACGGCCTGAAGAAACTCATCTTCCGTATAATCCGTGTTACAGCCGCGCATTTACGTGCCGGAGAAGTGCCCGACATACCAGAGTGTACCATACGCATCAAGAAATGCAACAAAGTCCTGCATAATATTTTCCCTGCACTGAACCATCTTATCAAAAAGACAGGCTGCCTTCGTCCGTGGAAACTAGATAACCCGGAGCCAGCAGTCATCCAGCGCAAAGTAGCATCTGCGGCACGCCGCTGTACGGCCAAGGCACGGCGTGTTGACATCAGCCCCCACCACCATCTCACTCCGCTCCACCTGGCCCTGCGTGAGGGACCCAATCGCAGCAGCGGTACGCGACGGCATGGCAGTGGCGCAGGCCCTCACCGTCTGGCGCCCTCCTCCACTGTCTCGCCTGGCTCCACCTTGCCGCCGAACCCATTCCACTTGCCGGCGCCAAAGCCACGCTTCTTCAGGCCGAGCAGGACTCGGGAACGGGTCACGTCCCGCACCAGCACCAGCGTCAGCAGCTTACTGCGCAGCGACTGACCGGCCACCCCGGATGGCAGCAAGGTCACAATTGGTGCGGTATTGTTCGTACCCAAGTTAGTTACTATCTGAGCTCGAGTGCAGTAATGTGATCCTATACATGCATGCTATGTGATAAACAGGCGTGTTTATGTATGCATACATGTCCATACACACACACACACACACACATACACACACACACGCACGCACGCACGCACGCACGCACTATTCATACACATCCTAGGATGTTGCATACTAATATGTTTGCCACCATTTACAGACATACCTTTACACAAAACCAATGAAAAATAATTATTATCACAAGGCTACACATGACCAGCTATAATGGCTAGTACATGACTACAAAGCTGACCAACAGCATGTAACACATGACAAATATCCATGTTTGTCATGATTTGCTGCCATTCATGATGCAGTGCTTTAGTACTCGTACGGCTTAAACTGTGTAAAATGTCTTCTACTGGCTCATATATCAAATCTCTGTCTCTTTCTTCTAAAAACATCAAGACATGCAGTGTGAGTGCAAAAATGAGCCACAGGTGCACTCCTATGCTGCACTGTCACTGCTAGTATTCACTATTGTAACAGAAGTACATAAATCTGTCATGGCTCCCTCACAAATGCCAAAATTTTGAAACATGCCCAGTTTGTTTGAATGCATCCCGGAATGTTCAAAAATAATTCCCTATGACATACTTGCCTACACTTTCTCTAAAAGACTGAACAAGCTAATATCACAAATTCCATCAGGCAAATTGTTCAGATTACCTTCTACACTGTTGCCCAAAATAGCAGTGCACTTAAGTCCTACACTCAATTAAATTGAGTGTACATGTCTATCAATTTGCATAGCTAACACAGACTTAAATCACACCTAGCCAACAGGTAACACTCCTCTCCATAAATTTGACCCCAATCCTGGACACAGTAAGCAACAAGTGGCCTGAAGCATCCAAAGCTTTTTAAAATGATCCTGCTACATGCATATAGCACATTCATATTAGCCCAAAACATTTCAAGCATTTTCTTTTCTTTTGTCTACTAACTGATCTGTTGCTAATTTACTGTAAATAATGACATCTAGGTCTGATCTTTTTAGATCATAAAAGTTGGGCAACACTCATAATACATGGTGTGTTCATATCATCTTCCTATATAAGTACTTGCACCATCTTATTCCCTTGAGTTAACCCCTTGAATTATCTGCATACCATTTTGAACTTCATCTACTTCCTATATAAGTAGATGTACCATCTTATCCCCTTGAGTTGCAAAGATCTGTGTACCATTTTGAATTTCATCTGATGTTCCACTTAGATGCATATTCATAGATTAATTACACAAATATACCAAAGGTAAATTTGAATCATGTTTCCACCATTCTCTAAAAGCCCAATCCAAGAACTTCGCTGTAAGTCAAAATCCACTTTTTCCAAATATGCGGCAATGGGATATTCCAAAACCAGCAACATTTGTGCATGTCCACATACCATGGGTGTGATACAGAACAGTTTTAATATCTACTTCTCCCATCTTGCAGTTAGACAGCTTCATGGCCGGGCACCATGTACCAATATTTTTGTTTTCATTGACACTGACATCTGTCTGTTATGTCCCAACAACTATAACTTCTCAAAAGTATCAGTTAAGTCCATCTCAGAACTCACTACTCAGTTATTACAGTGCCTTATGAATATTTCACCCCTTGTAAGTATTTATGTTCACTTCTTTACATCACCTGCTTTACATCTGGTCTATATGAGCTGAAATTTGAGCCACACAAAATTTCAAGGCACAACACTCCCTCCAGGGCCAATCCAAGCATAATATGCACTGCACCAATCTTGTGGTGTCTGTGCTGCTGTTCAAGTGCATTTTGTACTTTTGTAATTTTTGCAGGAAGCAATGACAGCTATTTATTAATGTGGCCAGCATTAACTCCACTCCAAACTATCAGCCTAGATCAAGGGGAACAGCTCCAGGAAAGCGACCACAGCATTCCTTAAGAGGAAGTCAAAATTTGTCCCACCTCCTACGACTTGCGAACGAGTCCCTGACAAAAGTTAAGGATATAGCACAATCCTCCTGGCTCAAGAGGGTATGGCATTAATCCCCGACCCGTTGGCCGTGTTTGCTTCAGCCACAGGATAAGCACTTCACATGTGACATCCGCAAGAATGGTAGATATTTCTCAATACGCTCACCATTAAAAGAACAGTCAATCAGAGAAACGTAATGCCTTCCTAATCTACGCTTTGAGAGACGGAGGTCGGAGAAATCAACACCCACACCGAAATCCCAATTTGGCGCGTGCCTCATTACGACTAAAACAAGGGCATTGCCCGCGGACAAACTGATCTAGGAGAACCACGGAGTTAATTTGTGTTAAAATTACACTGATCGGTTAGTAATAACGAACTGACGATGTGGTGATGGTATGGAAGACTATCCAAGAGTCATACAACTCATAGGAACGCTCCGCGTTTGAAGATATGTAGGATCAAGAGGGGATATAACCAGGATTCACTCAGGGAGCCGGGAGCCAGGAGCCAGGGCCCAGTTGGATCGTGGAAGTCTCCACCATCATGCTAGCTGTCTAAACAGCAGAAATTACTCTCGAATTGTTCCTGGATGTGGTTTCCTGCAGCTGCACTGCTGAAAACAAGGCATGCAGAGTCGCGGGCTGCAGATGCAACACACACAGTGCCGGCCTTTGGCATATAGACTACTTGCAAGCGTCAAGGAGAAATCGCATGCTATAGTTATTGCACGAGCAAGCAGATGGACATCCAAACAACCGAGGAGAGCTAAGTGTACAGCGACGATGACTACGCAAAATAGAAGAGGAATGTGACGGGTGCTGGAGGCAGTGCAGCGCGCAATGTTTCCTTAGATGTTGTGGCACTGCACGTGATAAGCTGTTTCTGCGTTTGACATTTATGCTCCGAAGTATTGACCCATAGCCAAAACTGTTGCTGAGGGTGTCCAAATTGTTATTGTGTCTGGTGCCATCCGGGACCCCTCCAAGGTGTATCATGCTGTTTTACCGATCACATCCATTAACCATCCAGCTCATGGTCATTGTAACTTTGGAAAATTTGGTAGGTAGACAGTTTTTGCCTATGAATACCATGGGGATTACATAATATTTCAAAGGCCCGGTTGTCACGTAGTAAGGCTTGACGTGCATGCAAGTACTTTAAGTGCAAGCAAGTAAAGATACCTGCAATTTCATAAAATACTCTTCGCTGAGTTTCTTTTATGCATTTTCGTTTTTATGTCAGGGTAATGTCAGGAGGTACATATCAGTGAAAATTCTCACTGCATGATGACCATGCCACACGTGATGTTTTTTCATGGTTCATTGATTAACCCCTGCCCTGATCCATTGTATTTTCATAACGCCGACTGATAGGAGGCGAAAGGGAGGTGGGGTAAATCGATGCGTACCTTTTCCTATGGCGTTTCGACATTAAGAAAGGTAAAGCCTCGCGAAAAGCAAGCAATAGCTCGGTCTCAACTAGATCTCGCAATTGGTAAAAAGTTTTATATTTCTATAACAAAGATAGCTCAAGAGTCAAATTTCCTGAAATTCGAATATTTCTCAGCTTCACGTGTTTATATCTACGAGACCATACTCATTAGTACCACGAAATCTGCATTAGCATGGTTTTTGTTGTTGTTTGTTTAATTATTAGTCAATAGTGTGCAGTTTTATTTGTATTTCTATATTTATCTGTATTTCTGTATCTGTATTTTATTTATTTATATTTATCTATATTTATCTGCATTTCTATAACAAAGATAGCTCAAGAGTCAAATTTCCTGAAATTCAAATATTTCTCAGCTTCACGCGTTTTCATCTGTTCTGATCACAAATTCATCACGTAGAGCGCCGTTGATGAACAATGTCGGTCCGTTGCCCGCGCCGTCCGTTGATTACCGTGCTGTGTTCCTGAAAGCAGCACTTCTCAGTATCCAAGAATGCTGGTGATACGTGTTTCGTGTCAAAACATGCGCAATAGATGCCTCAGAGGCCACCTAAAAAAAAACGCGATTGCATGGCATACAGGAGTGGTATCGTCAGAAGCTGGGACGCTGTGGGCATCCCCTTATCAGGGCGAGGGCTAGAGGGGGTGTTTCACAGTTATATGAGATTTTGAACTGAAATATCCATTTTGAAGACCATTTGGCGCAGTTCACAGTCCCGCCCTTCTTAAGACCTAAACCTCTCTAATTTCCGAGCTACGTGCCCGGGAAAATGTGGAGAGTGTTTCAGGAAGAGCATTTTAAGGTCACCTAGCATGCATGACAAAATGGTGCCATTCAAATTCGGTCGCTTCATAAGCCATGGTGCGAGCAAGTTCGAGAAAATGTAATGGGCGATTCTTTCACATATGGCGTTCGTGAGCACGATTTCCAGATATGACCGGCCGTCAACTGGTCCTCAGTTAAAGCTATGCGAGGCACGATGACATGATCTCACAATGAGGTATCGAGGAGCATTTTTTGTGCCTGCCCGTGACGCAGGGGACTGCCGGGGCTGGGTGTCCACCTGAGGAGGCTGTGGCCGCAAATCTTGCTGCAGGCCAAGCCGCGGCTGGAAATCAGCCGGCAGAGGCCGAGGCTGCGAATCCCACGTCATCCCAGCCCGCGGCTGAACCGCCTAACGAGCCGGCAACAACAGCGGTGCAGACCCTGTGCCATATCCCGGCTCGCAGGTCACGTACACGCGGCCCACGTCGCCACTGTCCCTCCGTAACCTGGCCCGAAACAGTGACTCACTACCAAGTCCGAGTCCCCATTCGAATGCGCCCAGGTCTCGGATCCCAGTGTCTGTAGGGCAACCGTCTTCGAATGGTCATTGCGAACAGCGGAGCGCTTGAGTCAGGCGTTATCCAGATCGATTTAGCACGTGACTGCGACAGCTGGGTGCATTACAATGATTCATGGTGTCTTTGTATGGTTCGTGTTAATATGTTGCCTAGGTTAGTTGCAATGATTTGACGGATATCGCTTAAGCGCCTTTCTTACTGTGCACGTTAAGTCAGGTTTGTGAAATATGTGCCCATGATGTCATGGATTTCTTTATTATGTCATTAATGAATAACTCAGCTATGAGGGCATTCTTCTTTTATGAAGGGTGCCTAGTATAAGGTGTTGGGGAACACCTATGTGCTAGCCAGTAAATGATTGCGTAGTTTGACGAGCGCGGTTTACAGGCGCCTGCGTTCCCCTTCTCCTGTCCCAGGCGTCCCGTGCGAGAGACGCGGCCGCGGGGCCAGGAGAGGGGGTTACAAGAGGAAGACCTCGAGAGCCGCCGGCGCGGGGACGGACGCGCCGGTGGGACGGACTGTGTGGGTGCCTGTGGCGAGCGGCAAATACAAGAGTGACTTCGAAAGTACCGTGTGTACGAGTGAGCCGGAGGCCAGACACAGGAACAGTAGAATTTACACATATCTACTAAACAGAAAAAATTGGTGTCTAGAGAAGCTTTTTCTAATTAAAACCAATGGTTATAGGTGAGCTTGTTTCATCGTGTCTGATGGCGACATCAATATCTTTAAATGTGAAACATTCCTTTTAAGCTGTTATTGTGGGTGTTGATCGCCACTTCACTTAACACTACATCATGATGATGATTAATAAAGCCTCAGTACGCTTTATGAACATTATACTTTGCTGAATTGGTTCCAAGATAGCGTTGTTGATGGGTGACACACATGTCAGCAAGGGCTGAGAATATCTGTCTAACACGCGCCCGGGTGGCCGGTTGGATACCCTTCGCTCAGGTAAGAGGGGCTCAATTTGGCCCCCTGAAATCTTAGGAACTAAAGAGCTAGAAACACCAAATTCACAGTGTGTGTTGGCTAATACGTGAACGTAGGTAGGTCAAAATATGCGTACATACAAAATATACGTACGAATACGTAGGTCAAAGTTTGAGGTTCCTAGGTCATGACATTCAGGTCAAATAAGGCCGAAGGTCAAACTCCAAGTTGGTCTCCAAAGTGTTCCCAGAACCTCGATACCTGTCCTAAGCAAGAGTTCACATTATCATTTAAGGTCAGTGACCCTGTTTGATCTTTCGAAGGTCATGGTGACCAAAATCATACAAGACTGCTTTGAGTTTTGCAGTTGAATAAGCGACAAAGATTAAACTAGGAAGAGCGTTCCCAAAGACCAAATTTTCCCCTAGGTGAATTTGGGTAAATTACCTATTCTGGACTATATATGAGGTCCATGTAAGATGTCAAATACGGTTCCTGTTATCAATAGATTCGAAATGAACACCAGAAACTGCCCCCTACAGCAAGCCCTAAAGAAATGAAATAGGTTGGCTTGACCTTGATCCGACCTTCATACCTGACACCAGGTCAACGGAATTTGGTCATTCAATTGCTGTGTTGCCTAGGAAAGTAATTCAGAGATGTATGGCTTCGTCTATCACTCAGTTGTTGCATCAGATTGGACGATTCCCTGGATATTGACTTCGCCGAATCCATGGTCTGACTTTGACCTGCCGTAGATCAACGACCTTATAAGGTACCTCTAAATTTGTGATAGCGAACAATCCGCTTTTCAACTGTCTACAGCTTTGCAAAAGTTGGCGTGGCTACATTGCGCCGTTCAGAGACCATTCAGAAAAAAAACTTCAGGTTGGGCCAAACTGACCCCAGTCGAGCGTCAGTTTGGCCCACACTAGCATTTAAAAGCTTTCGATTGGTGCGAGCGCCTTGCCCATCCAACATCAATACAAATGGCTGCAATTTCAAATCAAGGTTCCTAAGATAATTGATCAGCTCTTGTTATAAGCTAGTCTGATTTTATGTCCAGACAAAAGATCGACATCCATATGTCGAAGTCTTTAAATTTAATCTATCCACTGCCGAGAGACAGCGATGAGCCCAGTTGGTCAGGGTCAGGCATCGGGCGCAGCATTTGGGCGCGGTTCGTCGCCGTACGACCCTGGTCATGTCGGCTTACAAGACGACACGACTCTAGCATGGGCCAGATCAACAGTGTTGCACCTGATGCCGTATACGCCCTGGTCAAGCTAACGGGATTGATGGCCTGGTCAAAAATCCCCACTTCGTTGGCCAGGCACACAGTAGCTTCGTTCACATGACTGAAACCTGCGTGACCTAGTCCATAGTGCAGAGCCAGGTTGTACATTTGTCATTCAATGACGTCATGCATTCTGCGAAGTCAAATTAACCCTCCGAATGTTTTTCCAAAATGGTTTCCAAATGGCGGGGCGCAGCCACCCCAAAT